AAGCAAGGAATGATGATTGTAGGATACAAAGAATCAAACATAAAGTCACACACACAAAGATTTTCACAAATAGAAATCATGGATCATATGCCATGGTGATAAACTAGGAGATTTCAGTGAGTGTGGAAAATCTATAAACATTTCAAAAATTCATGTATTTCTGTTAATTCCACCATAAAGGAGGAAATGAGAATTAGTCTATATACTGGATTATGTCAGATCTGAACATGTATCAGAATCAGCCAAAATATAACTTGGAAAGTGTAGGGGGAAATCACACAGAGTGAATTTGTGGCAAGTTGGGTGGCACCACAGTTGCATGGGTAGAGCTATTCATATTACACACTGGAAGAGACTGATGAAAGTTACAATTTTTAAGAAAAGAGGAATTAGTATGGTTTATACTTTGCAAAGCCACAGGGGAAGAATGAAAATACAAGGAGTTATTTTGTTCATAAAGGGTGGAGAGACAGGAGGTTGATGAACAGTATAAAACTGCAGTGCTTCACCTCAAACACATTACCAGTTTTTGAAACAGAAAGGAGTCAGGTCTCACTATGTTACTTGCCCTACACACCTGTGTCACTTTTGTAATATTAAACCTGGCTCCTCCCCATTCCAAGCTGATTCAGCAAAAACTGTTTAACAACACTCAACTATTTGCAATAATGGAGAGGAAGAATATAACAGGCTTCTCTTCCCAACAGCCGCATCCAAGTGAGACTGGGAGAGCACAACATCAATGTCCTGGAGGGCAATGAGCAGTTTGTCAATGCTGCCAAGATCATCAAGCATCCCAACTTTAATAGCAGGACCCTGAACAATGACATCATGCTGATCAAGCTCTCTTCCCCTGTGGCCCTCAATGCCAGAGTGGCCACTGTGGCTCTGCCCAGCTCCTGTGCGGCTGCTGGCACTCAGTGTCTCATCTCTGGCTGGGGCAACACCCTGAGCTTTGGTGGTGAGTAGGACACTTCATCTACTTCCTTCACAACTTTCCAAAAACAAGTAAGGTTCTATGCTGAAACCATTGGCTTCTAAGATGCAAAACCATTGCAAGTACCCAATAACACCAAGTTCTGTAATGGGTACAAGAGATATTTGCACACAACATGATCTGGTTCCCAGCATGTAAACAGTGCAAATGAAGATTGCTGTATTATTAATTCCGGGAAGGATATCAATAATGACTATTCTGGATCTAAGTTTCTTGCTGGGCCCTAATATCTTGAAGTATGTTCCAGGGTCCATAGAGTTGTCTCCACTTGGGAATGCTGATGATTCTCTTGGTCTGAATCACATTTCTTTCTTATCCTTTCCTCAAAGTGAACAACCCAGACCTGCTCCAGTGCCTGGATGCCCCAGTGCTGCCTCAGGCTGACTGTGAGGCCGCCTATCCTGGAAAGATCACTAATAACATGATCTGTGTTGGCTTCCTGGAGGGAGGCAAAGATTCCTGCCAGGTAACCAGTTTTATTCTCACAAAAGTACTGAGTTTTCCCTAGGAGAGGGGTTAGGATGCCCAAGTGTATG